TGGTCTGGCCCTCTAGCAACTTCAGCGCCAAATTAATTAATTTAGTCATTAAAATCCATATTGATATTAAGTATATTTTCTACTATCCAATTTATAGCTATATGAGATTTAACATTTGATGTAAAATAATATATTTTCTATAAAATCTAAGAAGATATACTTGATAGATAAAATCTACAGTATTTATATATTTAATATAATTTATTCATCAAATGATTTTAACATTTCATGATAAAAATGACCATTATAGCTATATAGTCTTTAACCAGTTGCCATCCGGCTGAATGTAAATAAATGACCGGACTGCAGATGCTTGACGGCGGGTGAGTGTTTCTAAATGGCCTTTCCCGTGGAAACCGCACGCATTGTTCAGAGCAGATGAAGGCTGTTACATAAAAGCATTTGGGCAGCTATAGAGCCACCTGATCCCTTGCATTGTGCCAAGGAGTGTGCCCCTCCCCCTCCACCGCTGGCTATCCCAGGCTCCGCTGTTCTCCATGTGGGCCCGGGACCAGCATGGCGGGTCTCTCTGGCTGGATCAGGGGGAGATCAGCACACTTTTACTGGCTGATCTCCCCTCCGATCTCTGAATGCGGAAGTGATGTGTATTACATCACTTCCACCTCAGCCTGTCATTTCTCCGGCTGCTGTAGCCAAAAAAGAAGCTGATGTCTATAACGAACCCCCAGATAGGAGTAAAAACCTGTCGGGGTTCCAACCCTTCCCCACTCTATACATCTGCCTAATGTCTACATGGAAAATCCCAATGACGTATATACATAGAAGACAGATAGTCCATCAAGCCTGCCCCTATAGACCTCTGTTTGTGCCAAGCATGCTTACATTCACATACTGTTGTATGACTCACTACCTCTGCTGAACGTCTGTTCCAAGCATCGTGTTCCATTCGGCTAAAATAATATTTTCAAATGTTACTCTCGTTGCTAAGCTCACATTGTGTGTTTGCAAAACCTTTATCCCTTCCTCGGTTTGGAGACAATTGGAAAGAAAGATAAATTAGTGCGGCTTTGTGTTCATGAATAAATCATTACAGAGTCAGTCAGGTTCAGACACAAGTCCACTGAGTTCAACCAAATATTACATTTATTTTTGTAATGCTTTTATCCTTTTTTTTTACTATTTATGTTTTTATCCTTTTTTTTTTACGTAAAGTGCATCTAACGTTCAGGGCAGCACCTTGGCTCAGCGGTTAGCACTTTCACCTTGCAGTACTGGAATCCTTGGTTTAAATCCATGCCAGGACACTATCGGAATGGAGTTTGCATGTTCTCCCTGCGCTTGCATGGCTTTCCCCTGGGTACTCCCAATGTCCTCCCTCACTCCAAAAACATGTTGGTAGGTTAATTGGCTCTAGTATGGGTGCATATGACTTTAAGGATCTTAGATGGTAAGCTCTTTGAAAAAATGGTCACCTTTAAGTCCCCAGTACGGGATTGGACAGTGAAGGAGCAGCAGCACTCTGATGAGTCATCCTTCTGCTCACTTCTCCTCCATGTATAGTATAATAATTTGTGTATGGAGCAAAGCCCAATTGAGACCATTGCAATGGCTGTAAGGATCAGCGACAGGGACATCCCGAGGCCGGGTGTCACCCGCTCTCTAGACTGGGTGGCACCCCGCCGTGTCGTCATCGTGCGTGCCGGCGGCCATCTTGGTGATGGATGCCGGCAGAGAGAGGAGGGGGGCATTTGGGTGAGGTATGACGCCCGGTCCCCTCCTCACTCCTAACACTGTCTGGCTCTCGGTCCATGACTGAGTGCCCAACTTTTTAGAGGGGGTGACACCAACATGACTGAGGTGGGGGTGACACCGAATGGTGGCACCCGGGTGCGGGCTGCACCTCCAGGACCCCCCTTGTGACGCCACTGAGCAGCAACATTCTAATAAGTCATTCTTCTGCTCACTCCTCCTCCATGCATATTCTTTGGTGCATGGAGCAGAGCCTGACTGAGGTCTTTACAATGTGTGTGATTGGGCAGTGATGGAGCAGCAGCACACTGATGAGTCATCCTTCTGCTCACTCCTCCTACATGCATATACATTTGTGCACGTGGCAGAGCCCGATTAACGTCATTACAATGGCTGCATTGAAAACTAAATGTATTAAATAATAAATACAGCTTGGTCACCTCTTCGCCCACAGTACGCAATTGGACAGTGAAGGAGCAGCGGCACAGTGATGAGTCATCCTTCTGCTCACTCCTACTGCATGCATATAAATGTGTGCATGCAGCTGAGCCCAAATTAGGTCATTCCAATGGCTGCATTGTAAAGTGCAAGAATTACGGCTTGGTCACCTCTCCACCCCCAGTATGTGATTGGACAGTGAAGGCTCAGCAGCACACTGATGAGTCATCCTTCTGCTCACTCCTCGTCCATGCATATTCTTTGGTGCGTGCAGCAGAGCCCGACTGAGGTCGTTACAATAAAAAAAAAATTTATTTTATATTTTTGACTGCTTGCTTTTATATATATATATATTATCAACCTGTAAGATCAGCTGTACATAGAGGAAAGCCTATTACAGAAACACAAGTTGGTTTTAGTAACTCGCGATAAGTAACATTATCCCGCAGAAGCAATAAACGCTACTTTTGAAATGTATCCATAAAACATCTCCCATCGACATAACAAAGTTTCCCCTCGTATAATCATCTCTCACTAAACATCCTCTGAAATACCAGGCCAGCCATTTCCCCCTCTGCGCTCCGAGCAGTTCCAATGATTTACGCTTATTTTGTCAGGCTGGCGCGGGCATCATCGACAATTATATACCTGGCATTTCGGGATCCGTTCCTTCGTCATCTTACGGCAATTACAAAAAAAAAAAACCCCAAGAAAATTATTAGCCTTTAATATGAGACGAGTTCAGCGCGGCTCATTGCATTGAAAGACTTATGTAAATCTTGCGTAGGTCCTTAAACGCGAAATATGTCGGTTAATAGCACCCTCTCCAGTCAGGCGGAAGATTGAACCCACGGGCCCCATAAACAATGCGCTGTTTTGGGAAGATTACATCCGTTTAAACAGCTGCGAACATTGCTGTCAGCAAATCCATTTCCATCCTGTCGCCGAGCCGCTGTGCTTGACAGACAATGCATAATGTTTTATCTGCATTTACACGGCTATAAAACCCGAAGACCCGGGAAACGCAGAGGCCGCGGCGGTTCAGCGGCATGCGGATTGACTGTTCTGGCTGCACGGGAAAGTTCCAAAACTTTTTCTGGAATATAGTCACACGTCTTGAAGGTGAACTCCGGCAGTGGCGTCACAAGGGGGGCGCGGCCCATACCCGGGTGCCACCATTGCACGGGTCATTCTGAGCCTGGTGACTGGGACCCTGCGAGGCCGCGAAAGTACTCGCTATTGAATGACATTGGTTGTCATTAACATGGACAATTGCTGAATACTACAGCTTGGTGTGCTGGTGACATCCATTATTACTTCAAACCATCTCATGATGCCCCCGTGGTCACTACGAGCACCCATTTGCAATTTACAATAATCCAGGAAGGAGTGCTGCAAGATACATACATTTCTATATTTCACCATTGCAGGGGTGACACCAAAATGACCGAAAGTAATTTTGGTGTCACCCCCTCTAAAAAGTCGGGCACTCGGTCCTGTCAGGAGAGAGGAGGGGACCTGCTGGTGTGAACGTCCCCTCCTCTCTCTGCCGGCGTCCATCACTAATATGGCCGCCTGCACGAGTTGACATCGTTGGGCCGCCTCGTGACTCCACGAGATGATGAAAGGAATCTGACACGGCACTGTTGCCCTTCTGTTGTCTTGTACCAGTCTTGCCCCTCCCCCGTTCTGCCCTAACATTGACTAGTCGCTGACGGCCACAATTCGCACGTTCAGACCCAGATTTTCGGCTGACAGTCCGACCAAGAAGCAAACAATTTTGCTGAAAGTCATCTTGTATTTAAAGCAACAAACGTCATCATTTGTGTAGATATATAAACAAACCTCACATACCTTATTCTTTGCAGAAAACAGCCTGTAGGGAGAATTCGGAAAGGGACATCACCTGTAATTAAAAGACAATTGTGAAGAAATAAAGATCATGTTGCTTATAATTGATCACATTAGCAGATGGACACTAATGCTGTCTACACATGGACATTTCATACCAATTTTAATTACTTTCAGACATATTTTGGTCTCAAAAAAAAGATCAAGAGGATCGACCCGACCCACCACCACCATCCCTACCATATTGATCAAGATATAAGATATCAAGATATAAATTGTCAAGATATAATTGATATGGAAGGGACTGGATACTTCTATATGATTGGAAGGCACTAGATACATTACATTAGGGATACATTGATATGGAAGGGAGTGGATACTTCTATATGATTGGAAGACCCTAGATCAGTGATGGCGAACCTTGGCACTCCAGCTGTTTTGGAACTACAAGTCCCATGAGGCATTGCAAGGCTCTGACAGCCACAGACATAACTCCCAGAGGCAGATGCATCTTGGCATTTGTAGTTTTGGCACAGCTGGAGTGCCAAGTCGCCACCACTGTCCTAGATACATTACATTAGGGATCCATTGATATGGAAGGGACTGGACACTTCTATAAGATTGGAAGGCCCTAGATACATTACATTAGGGATCCATTGATATGGAAGGGACTGGACACTTCTATAAGATTGGAAGGCACTAGATACATTACATTAGGGATCCATTGATATGGAAGGGACTGGACACTTCTATAAGATTGGAAGGCACTAGATACATTACATTAGGGATCCATTGATATGGAAGGGACTGGAGACATTTACATGTAAAGTAGTAATTAGGGACATGTAAAAAACTCTATAAACATATATACAGTATCTGCAGATAACCAAATACACATTATACAGCTTGTGCTTTTTCAGGCTGATTGGCTCCTGGTAGCAGCGTTGCAGCATATGTAATGTGGGAGAATCCGGACTCCCATCTCCCAACAGCGATTCGATTCATTTGGTGTGATTTAAGGGATCTGGCAGCGTTGATGTTTGCACACAGACAACCTTATTGCTCCTCGGTGTATGCGGAGGACGGTCTGTTGTCTGGATTATATATATCATGTGATGAGGCCTATGTGCAACGTATCTGTGTACAGTCTTCTCTATCGTTATTTTCATTTGTGTCTACAGACTTATCATCCGTTTGCTTTTATTAAAACTTAAAAATATGACACAAGCCATATTTTCCAGTTCCGTCTGCAGCCAGCGGGAATCTTTCACAAATAAACCATTTCTCCTTTTTGCAACCATTTTAATTCTCTGATGGCGCATGCGATTGCTCCGAATCCACATCTCATGTTCTTGTGATTGGGCCCCGTGCTTTATCCAGAGGTCTGCGCAGAGCGTGAGATTAGACATGTGCGATTCATTTAATTCCGAATCAAAATTCGGACATATCCGAATTTCCATTTCCGAATCTCGGATGCTCGGATCTCGGAGTTTTTCGTTCAAAAACCAAACTGAATCGAGCATGTGACTTTCCCAGCCAGTCAGAAGTGTTGTTCGGTTTAATGCATCCGATTGGGTCCGTGAACACAAATTTTCGTTACGACAACATGGGAGCCATCTGGTTGGCCAGAAAATTCACATGCCGTATGAAAATTTGTGTTCAGTATATACATATATTACTAAAGCTGAGGCTCCCAGACCCGAATGGCATTTGGGAGCTCCCGAATGCAATTCGGAAATTTGGATCCCGAATGCCATTCGGGTCTGGGAGAATCAGCTTTAGTACCGTGTTTCCCTGAAAATAAGACCTACCCCGAAAATAAGACCTAGTTGTAACCATTCCCAGCGCCGGTGGTGGCATAAGGGGGAACTTGAAGAGCCGCAGGAGAGGCGGGAGAGAATCAGCGGTGCCAACGAAGCCAGCGCTTGTGGAAGCGAGGCGGCATCGGAGGGAGCAGAGCCGCATAAGCCGATACCTCCTCTATAGCGCCGCCTCCTGTGATAACAAATGCGCTCCGCCTGTGAGGAATCGATAGTGAAAGCGCGCTTCGCTAATTCTGGCCAGCGATTGGTTACCACATTGCTCTTGGAAAGATACGGCACCCCTGATCACCATATTCTTAATTTTGCCATTTTGGATTATTTAATTTGGATTTGCATTAACTATGGATTGTTGTACATTAAAAAAAATAAGACCTACCCCGAAAATAAGACCCCAAAAATATATATATATGACACAGTGTCTTATTTTCGGGGAAACACGGTATTATATGCATATAGTTTTATGTGGTAGTCGTAACAAATATACCTTCGTAAACTGTCCTGAAACTAACGAAATTCAGATTTCCGAAAACTAGGGATGCACCGATACCGGTATTTTGGTACCGAGTACGAGTACCGATCATTTTTTTTCGGTACTTGCCGATACCAATTACCGAGTACCGGAAGTCCCATTCAGGAAGCCAGGTGGCGTGTAAAGACGTCCAAGCCCGTCCCCTCTCACCTCGGCATGTCCAGCCCGGAACGGTCTTCCTCCGGTACCCAACCGGAGCCGGCTTCCCGGCCAATCAGAATGCCGGGCGCTGTGTCATTACACGGCGCCCGGCTTCCTGATTTGCCAGCTTCCCGACCAATCGGGAAGCTGTACGAGTACTCGCCCAAATACTCGGTATCGGCACTTGTATTCGGTGCATCCCTACCGAAAACCCAAATCCAAAACCCGAGCCGAATTGAATTTTGGATCCGAATCCAGAATTCCAAAATAACTGAACCAAATTTTTCTGCAGCTTACATGTCTACCTGAGATCATGTTACAAGCATACCGCACAACAGGGATTTAATTTTTGGCAAGGGTTTCAGCCATTAAAGGAGAACTATGAGGGGGGTGCTTTTCACTCACTTCATAGTTCTAGCCGACCTGTGACAATGAGACTGTCACAGGTCGGCTCAGTAGATCGGGCCGGCGTTCGCTCACCTCTCGATCCTGTCACGGCTCTCTGCCGTGACATGGGAGGGGCTGGATTTCCCCCCTCCCCGCTCCGATCTGCCAGCGCTGACTGGCGGGACGGACGGGGGAGGGGGCGGGTACAGCTGGCTCTGCCTCTAGATAGGCAGAGCCAGCTGTCAGTCACGCAGCTGGGCGGATCCCGGCACAATTGTCGGGGTCCTCTTCAACTGCGGCGTCTCAGTATACCGCGAGCTACAGCTCG